ATTACCGAAGCACCAGACGACTGGAGCTACGAGTACGGTTACATGATATGGTTCTTTTCGGGTGTTCCATCCATATATGGTACAAGATGCCCCAGACACTAAGACCAGTTCATCAGGAGATCCTAGAGGACGAGCAGGGTTAGGGTCCAATCATGCCACTGACGTGTGTCATACCCCAAATTTTGACCTAAGATACCACCTCCCATCAGCATTATTACATAGCAAGCGTTCACAAGCGATTCGACCTATTTTTGCCAATTCTCGAGTCAGATTTCAAAAATTCCATAACTTCTTCAAATTTCGACAATTTTTAGTGGTTCTTTTACATATGATTCTCCTTTGCAAAAACTACAACTTTTCTTTACAAGTCAAGAGATGATTATGCTTTGAAAATCCACCAAAAAAATAGAAACATTAGAAATCATTGTGAATTTAGTGAAATTTAAACTGGTTTTGCCTGACTTTATTAAATCATGTATTTTTGCACTTTTACTCGACATTCTTTTATTCTTATTTTCATAAAAAATAAATCCAAAAAAAAACATATTTAGCTCATATCAGTTGTATTTTATATAAAAAAATTATTATAGTTTTGTTAGTTTCATTTAATTTTATATTTTTATTGATAATTCGGAAAATCTCAAAATACATATAAGTTCTTTTACCTTTTTGCATTTTTAGAGTATGTAAGTCTATTTTGTTCTTAGTTGTAGTTTTATTTATTTAATTCGAAAATATGAAAATATATGGTTTAATTTTATTTTTATTCCCTCTATTATTAATTTTGATTATAATTCCATTTGAAATGTTTTTAGGTTGAATTATTAATAGAATTAAAACCAATTTTAATATCTCTTTTCTTTCACTTTTATATTTTCAGTTTAGTTTTACTAACATTTTATTGTATTATTTGTGTCATTACTATTATAATTATTATGCTATGTCCATATAAGTTTGTCCATATGCTGCAAAAGTTTATCCATATGCTGTAAAAATCTGTCCAAAACTGCATGGCCCCCTGCACAAGTAATGCCAAGAAAAACAGTCACATAATCTCTGCTGCCCTGTTATAAGACCAGCATATCAGTCCAGAAATTGCATCAAATAACACACACCAAAACCTGTATCAAAAAGCCATAAATCAGATCACCATATTTGTTCAAAAGCCATTCAAATTCCCTCCTAAAACTCTATCATCTGTCTATATAACATTTCATACACAACAAAAGAGAGGGTGACGAATTAGAGGATCTTTTCATAGAAACATAGTAACCATCAACAAAAACGTTGAGGAGAAAAAAGCAAAAACCCACAGAAAAACACAAAACATTAAGAATAAACACTCTGCTATTCTAATATCTGATTTCACTACTTCTATAAAAAAACACTTTTGTTCAAAATCACGACTTTCTTGCTCAAAATCATTTTCAAAAAGAAGAAGGGATTCATATAGTGGCTTATTACCTATGGGTTTCAGTTTCATCTTTGAGCCAGAACTTGAGGTAGTCTTTCCGCCTCTGCTTTGGCACTTTACATCCTTATTCCCCATGATATTTGGAACCTTGTTACTTTGATATTTGTTTGTTCTAGTTTGCACTATACCATGGTTAAAACTTCTTTTGTATCATCTTTTGTGCCACATGACTCTTTGATTTGTTGTAATTCGTTTTGCGTTCCAAATTTGTTGTAACTTGTAGAGATCATAAAGACACATGAGAAAAACAGTAGACAAATACACCAACAATTTAATAGAAATGCTACCAATTCTCTTTCATTCATCCTTCTGCACAAACATCAACTTACCCTTTCAAGCCTTGACCGAAATTATGCCTACCTTATATTAACCCCACTGTGTTTTTTCTTTAACCCTCAATCTCTCAGCAACCATACACTCAAAATCATAACCTGCAGCAATAACTCCAAGAATTAGCAAAACTCAATACCACTCTAAACAAAATCTGCAACTCATCATAAACCAACAACTTCTCCTTCATTTTACAAAACAAAACCGCAACCATATTCTCGCCTTCATATACCTGCATAAACTCAAAACACCAGAGAACCTGTAAAGTTCAACACAAAAATCTCCTACAAAAAAA